CGGCGGACACCATTAATAACAGAGAATACGAAGACTAATAGAATAATAATTCTACACTAATCAGTTTCTGTTATAATTAAAATGATAAAAAATACCTATAATTACAGACATCAAGAAACCTTTAAAATTTTGGTATTTTCATTTAAGAAATTAAAACAATAATATCTCTGCAATCTAAACATTTGAGAATATCTTTTTCAAAAATGATAAACAAACAGACCTTACTTTTTAACTTGCTTTAAAACACAGGAAAGATCTATCCTCCTGCATTAATTACAGGCACAGTTAAGCATGTTCTTTAGATTTAAATATTCAATAAAGGAGATAAAATGATGTTATTTTACTTTTTCATATCATTTGAGTTTTGCAAATTTTTCAAAATCAACGTCATTGAAGTTGTTTTTTTTTTTGTTTGTTTGTTTGTTTGTTTCACTTGTTTATAAACCTATACATTCTTTAAATCTTCAAATTTTGTAAAAAGAAATTTATATATTTAAATAAATTTTTTGGTATTTTGTTGTATTTCATATAAATTTTGCTAAAAATTTTAAACAAATACTATAGAATATATTTATTTCAATATATGTTTAGCCATTTAAACTGATACCTTCATCAGTTCAGTCTTCATCAAATAATATATTCCATTTTACATGTCTTCCTCAAGTATTAGCCTTAAAATTTGACATTGAATATTGCTAATGCCTCATTTTCAATTTCACAGATAATTATTTCTAAACTTAGCTTAAAAAATGTTCATCTTTACTATTTCAATTAGTTCATCACACATTGCTACATAATTCCTATTTTTCTTTTTTAATTAGAAGCTACTGTGCATCGTTATACCTGTAATTATATCCAGCTTATAATCTATAGTATTTAATATTGCCATGAAACGTAAGTGCAGGTTTTCCTAAAATTTTTAGTTGGAATGAGGTTTTGAAATACCTTTCTCTAATACTTTTCCTTCAAATAAAAAGTTTGAATGCTTACATCAATATGACTCTGTACAAAATTTCTTGCTACAAATATTGTTATGGAGTTCTTGCATTCCACTGAATTTTCATCTTATTCAATAACTGCTTAAAAATTTTTTGAATCTTTTCAGCCATCGGTTAAAGATGGCTTAATGAAAAAAAAATCGTTATATAAGACAATATCTTAATTTATGGTTAGTACTGTTCACAAACCATTATCTTTCACTTTGTTCATCCTCTGCTTTTAAATATTAAAACAGATATTTTTTTTACCGATCTTGTATGTTCTTTCCAACTTTTGGAAGTCACTTTTGATGTATTTACTAAAACATGTTTGGCCTTTCTGGTTTAATTCTGAAATCTTGCAAAGAAGAATTAAAAAGTGTTGTCCATACAGATATGGTCTTATGGATAAGACATGATAAGAGAAAAAAAAAATATTCTAACTACAGCATGAAATCATAGGTTTTCACAACATAAATAGAACAATAAATGTAAAGCAAAGCTTTTCTTTATTGCATCATCACTCTGAATCATAAGGTGCATAGTAATGGTTATGGTTATTAAAATGTGGCAAAGCACACAAGGACTAATTGCCTAAGGGGAGCAAAGCATCCTAAGGGAAATGTGTTTTCATATTACACTTACGGACAAATACGAAAATCAAATATGCAGCCCACCCATTCACCTGAGTTTCAATCCTGGAAAAATTAATACCAATCAGCAGTATTAACCACTCAGACACTGATGGGGTATGTGCACAGTTAACATCTCATTAATCCAAATTAATAGAAACCATACACATCCAGATCATTCAAATAACATTGAATAAACTAAATACAACAAAAGATAGTAAAAGTCATACAAATTTCAAAAGACATAAAATTTCACGATCCGGACCATCCTAATAATGTTTTGCAAAATATGTATCTACTATATGCTCATCGAAACAAATTTACTGATAATAAAAATATATAGTTTGCAGAAAATTTCAGATTTTTACCAACTGCTTACTGAAATGACTGCTTTGAAGAAACTGATAATCTTTCTTTCTGGTTACATCAGAGTTCACTTCCTTCATTATTAAATTGTGCAAATGCTTTCAATATTCATAACATGCCCTTATATTTTTATTTGGACCTCCAAATAAAATGACAGTTTAAATGCTCCGTCACTTCACTCAATTTCAACTTAAGGACGAGTTCAAACTCAATTTACTGATTTGTCTCTGCTGGAAACCACAATTCTTGTAGTTTTCTTTGCTTTTAAATTCCGTTATCATTACTGACTTCAGTCCTCTGCAGCACTTTTCACCTCAACTTTCAAAACATCATTGAGAAAATATTTTTCAAATGCAAATGACCCACTACACCCATGATCAATCCTTATGATTAAAATTTAGATGTACATATTCTTTTGGTGCATGTCTGGATTAGTAAAGTGTAAATACATAAGAGCTACCATATATTTCTGATTATATGACCATTCAAAAGCTCTGCATCACTAATTTAGATTAGGTTATTTGAACACAGTAAAACATACTAGGATTACTGACCCCCTGAAAAGTATTCACAATGCAACTTGCTATGCCGCCTAAATGCATTTATGTGGCAACACAGGTATGCATGCATCACAGCAGATGAGCATCAATTTTGACCTTCAAATTCAAGTCACATTAGGGTTTGTTTTTGTCGCACTGACTGCATTTTTTTTTTTCTCATAAGGGATGATTATGGGACTGTGGCGTTTGTCGGCTGACGAAAAAGAAAGCGTTGTAAGACTTTTTGGTAAAATTAACAGAAAGTAGTTGAATGATATAAATTAAAATAACTGATAGCTCTCCGTTAACACAAAAGATAAAGTTCCCCCTCTTCCTTGCCCTTATACCAAAAAAGAGGGAAAAGAAACATTATGGCATACTTTTACATGCATTTATAGTACATATGTCTGTTCTTTTAAGAAATGATTAGCCTTTTGGTTCATGAAAAGTTTAATAATTTTATGATCGTTTTTTAAATATTTATGATGATTTTAAAAATATTTTTTAAGGTTAAAAGTCTCAAAGTGTGTATGCAACATTAGTCATACATACAAATTTAGTTGCCCCAGTTAGTAAGATGGTCAGCATAAGCAGACAACATACTGTCTGACAGATCAATTCATATGCTGTGGGTCTAGATTCAAATTCTAGGTAAGACATGGATGTTGGTGACATGTTGGTGACTTGACTATATTGTTGGTTTGGATGTTGGTGACTATACGTTAACTCTGAAAAACTTAAAATCTGTCAAGTTGGAAGTCTAAGAAGTTGATGGAAGGGAAAAGAGGACAGATTCCATCTCTTGAAGGACACTGTCAAAGCACAGATGCAGCTTTGACAGTTAATCCTTTGACATCCTTTGACAGTTAATCCTTTGACATGAAGTTGATATTTTGATGATCAAAATATCAACTTCAGGCATACATGAAAAACTAAAACAAAATACCAAATTACTCCCAAGAGAGGGGAAAGAATATTGCATTCCTCAATTTTAAAAGACTAGTACAATATATTCTATATTAATATACAGGGTGATTCAGAATTCATCATCAGTATTTGGTGGGGAGGTAGGGAATAGGAAATGAAGGAGATTTCACATAGGAAAGCATGGGTGCAAACAAAAGCATGGGTGCAAATGAACGCATGGTGGCATAGAGGACACTGTGTGTACACAACTCCCATAATGTAAGCACAGCTGTTTGACATGTGCAGTCAGTCGTCATTTGACTAGGTGACTTTACAGAAGTAACATGAACCAGTATACGTGGAATGAGCTTGCAGAAATGCATGTAGTCACGTATCTGTCGAACAACTGTGTGAAACAGGATCGTTTGCTGCTATTAATGTTAATTGAAGGAGGCGTCGATCGGCACGGACAAAAGCAGTAGAGGAAGCTGTCTTACAGGAAATCGATCCCTGGCAATAGTGCTATAGACCTTGTAGCACGCATATCGGTTGCTGCTGCAAACATCCGAGAAATGCCAGGCATATTCCAGGAGGTCCATGCAACGCCGTTGTGAGTCATGCATTCTAGCATATGGTTGGCAGTTCGAGCACCTCTTGTAAGTGTCAAACCGATGCAAAGGAATGTTACATGTAAGATAATAAATGGTTTTTTTCCCTTACCACTTCCTTCTTATGTATTCTTTCCATCATTGAACTGGGGCATTTTGCCCTACTACATGGCATATGCACCAATGCATTCCGAAATCTCCTTCTTTTAATATTCCCTACCTCCCCACCAAATATTGAGGATGAATACTGAATCACACTGTATATACAAAAATATACATATATATTATATACATACATTAAATATATATATGTATAATAAAATTCATAGTCAGAGATACCTTAAAATTCTAACTGTATGTTAATTTTTAATGGCGCGGTCTCTATTTCGAAAGTACGTGGAATTAAATCCACAGCCCCGTAGTCAAGTTGTTTTTCCTGCCTTTTCTACACGTACAGTTATAGAATGTTCTGGAAGTATTTAAAGCGAACTGGAATGGCTGACGAGGCTGACATCATTTCTTGGAAGCACCGCCTTTCCAGAGGCTATAAAAGGACTCGCAAAAGAATACCGGGGTCTTTTTCTTTAATGTAACGATACAGTAAACTTCATACCAAAAAGTTATTAGTAATTCTTCTTTACTCCGGAGATCAGATTTTTGTAATTGCTATTTCTCCTGAATAATAATAAATGGATCCTGTTTTTTAAACTTATCGTCTGATAATTTAAGCTACAACTATATTTATGATTCTTCACCAATCTATTTATTCCGGACAAAAGCTGGTACATCACATATATATATACAAAGTTATCATACAGTCTACATTATGAAAGAATTTTGATTTTTTAAAGCTGAAAACAATTTATATTTTAAAGCACACTGAAGAAATTAATTTTCCATTTAACACTGAAGAAATTAATTTTCCATTAAGAAAAAAGAAAGATAAAATTCATAAGAACCTTTCTTACATACCACTTCTCATTTTTCCAGCATGCATTCCAGGAACAGAAGAATTTCGTTGCAGACACGCATTTCTATTCTGAGATGGATACATCAAAATAAGAGAAGCAGCACACTGTCCTTCATATGCAGACGCAAGCCATAACCAATCCTGACCAGATTTCAGGTTTTCAACTGAAGTAGCATAAAGTGATAATGCTTCCAATGGCAACCCTGCCTGCAGTGCTAAATCTCCAATGTGTTTCTTCATTCTACCTAAGCAACGTTTTTTGTAAACCCTAAAAAGCACATTTTTTATGAAAATGCTTAGCAGATATTTAAGGAGTGAGGCAAAGTAATTTTTGAAAATGCATATAAGAAAAATTTAATGTGGTTGATACAAAAACATTACATTATATAAGCATAATTTACTACATCTCTCTTAAGCTACTTTTATAAAGCTACTGGTTTCTATACAGGATGAGATCTGAAAGTACCTTGCTGTAAAAATCTGAGAGAAAATGGATAAATATTAAAATATGAAGAGAATACTCAATTTCCAGAAACTGTGTTACCTGCATAATAATGTCTCAAAGCATTTTAATTTTATAATTATTCACTGTTAGTTTATACAAATTCACATATTCTATAATTTTCTAATAACAATATGAATGTATAGTACAAAGAGTGAAAACATGTAATATATTTAATACTTATTATTTTAACTGTTCCCTTCAGCATAGTTAAAACTACATTTTCAGGTTCTTAAAAATGCAAACCATAAATATGTATGAAATATGCATATTAAACTCTGAAAGAAACTCTTTCTTGAAAGTGTAATAATTTATAATTCTTCTATCAATGATAACTTTTGAAGTATGAAATTAATCCTAAACCTCAAATTCTGCTATCATGTAATTTCCTATTAGATAGTACCGAAGTAACAGAGACCATGACTGATCATACAAACCTGACTTAAAAGTATCCAGAGATCCTCACCACAGAATTGATTGGAATAGTGATATAGATGTGCAAGTTCAGATAAAACATTCCTACTTCAAGAAGGATTACAAGATGCCATAGTTGAGACAAATCCGTTCACAAAATTTAAGAACTCTTATTCATGTCCCATTCAACTCCACAGGACATACCATTAAGAAATGAAAATATATTAATACAAATACCATTTGCAGAAAAAGATGGAAAAGTGTTTACAAAGAGTTGCAAAAACTAAAATACTGGTAAAAACAACACAAATGTACAAAATTCAAAGTTCAGTTAACCTACATATAATGACTATTCACCAAGAGCACTAAATGTTACGATTTTATGACTATGACTAAGCAGCCATATGTACATACAATATTAGGACAATAAATACCAACATTACATCTAATGGTATTAAGAGCATCACACAGGGAACATAAAACAACAATGACCTGTCCTTTGAAGCAAAAGTCACACTACACAATCTGGCAATTCAACTGACATCTGTGGATGTGGAGAATGCTTGCCTAATGAGTAGTAGTACTGACCTCGGAACATTTTGCCACAAATAAAAGTTCAGATGAGGAGGCATTGTAATATGAGATTGTTTCTCCTAGACCTTGGCCTTTTGGTTCATGTGACTGGCATGCTGAACATACTCATATCTTAACATTCTGGACAACTTTGTGCTGCTCAAACATGGCAATGTGTTTGGCGGTGGTTTGTTTCTAATTTAGCTTAACCAGGCATGCTGTATCTATTTTAGCTAAATCAGGCCATAAATAAGATTTATTTTTTAAGGTTCAATGTGCACCTGTTTTGAGAATAATCAAGTTATAACTTTTACACAAAAAATATAAGATTTGCAGTTTTAGCTAAAAAAAAAAAATTCATTCATGAATAGTTTAGGAAAGTACTGTATGAAATTAAAATTTACTGTTAAAACTATGCATTACTGCATTAAAATTGCAAGCATGGTGTGGTATGGTTAAGATTAGGAATAAAATGAATCATGTAATTACAACTTGGGGGGGGGAAACATTTTTTTTCCCACATGGGGAAAACAGGAATAGAGTTTTACTTCCACAAATGCACGCATATATCTTATAGTTGGCTTAATGTGTAATATACATATATAACATTATATGGGTATATGCACATAAAATATTAAAATTAATCATTATTGTATAATTTAATATAGTGCAAGATACTGAAAATGTTTTCTAAAAATATATGTTGATACCAAGTAAATGAAAAGGTTCATAGAAATCCATATGGAGAAAGTTCCGAAGTTTGAAAGTTGAAGTGCATCGGAAAAAGCATATTTTTCTTGGTCTATTGAAGTTTCATTTTTTATTTTTCTGCTTTCCTGTTTGCTGATGATTACTTTTACTCTTTTCCTTTCCAGGAAAATGGATCAAAATGACTTACGTTAAGTCATCAAATTCTTTGTGCAGAAAGCCTACAGTGTCTCACAGATCAAAAGTGAACTTGATGGTGTGAGGGACAAAGACTGTCTTAACTTCATGACTGGAAAGTGGATCAGCATTTTCAAATAGAAGGAAACTAACCAAAGGTGCACCCTGGACAGGGCAGACTTTGTTCAGAACAACCGATTAGCTCACCACCCATGAAATCATAGCTGCTGATGAGTGCAATACTGTTACTGACTAATAAAGTTTTGAAGGAGGTATAGTAGCCATGTTGGAGACTTCAGAAAGTACAATATCCAACATCTCTTTAGAGAATCCTTTGCACAAGAAAGGTCTGTATCTGTTGAATACTGAAAACTATAGCAATGATTCAATGCCCTAATTGAATGATGTTGTGCATTTTTGGCCACTTACAAAGCACTGCTCTCAATTGTCTGTTTGTTAATGATGGTTCATGAATCATGGATTTATCATTACGGCCTGTAATCCAAGGCTTGGAATAAACCTGATGAAAGGCCACCTACTTGATCCTGACATCAGACGTCTACCAGCACGGTACTGATGACCTGCTTCTGTGTAAGGAGAGGGTAACCAAAAATGACTACCTGCCCAAAGGACAGACTTTGAATGGTGCTTACTTGGCTGAACTGACTGGCCAGCTGTACCAATCTTTGAAAATATGCAGTGGCAAACTGACAGGGGTGTGTGTCTGCAGCACGACAATCCACTTCAAACTCCTCAATCACTCATCCTCTTTAACAGATCTGACTCCCATGGATTAGCTATCACATGTTTCTGAGCTTGAATAAGCATATTTGAGGTTAAACTTTGGGTTGGGTGAAGAAGTGATTGCTTGCATTCAAACATTCATTGATAACAAAGATCAGCCATATTTTACTGCTGGTATTGATGCTTTTCCAGTATATTGACAATGCATGCTTGGTAAGCAATGAAAGAACACTGAATATATGTTTTTAGATTCCTAACAGTTGTTTGCTTTATATGGAGTTCTATAAACTGTTTGGATAACCTAATATATTAAAAGATACTATTTATGAATAATTAGCTTATGATTTAGCTCTTGAAATATAACATACATACCAAACTAAAACTACAAAAACAACAACCAGTAAATTTTACATTGACTTAAAACACGCTAAAAGAACTAAAAAAATAATAAATTCACCCTACAAAATGGTATGAAAAACATTTGTAAATTTTAAACTGCAGTCCCTTTCCATTAATCTACTTCAGAAATTGCCTCAGAATATTGTATTTGCAGAACATATCAACATGCACAAAGAATTTTTAGCAAAATCACAGAGTAGTAAAAAATTAATCCATATTTCCCCATGTTTCTGACAACACAATGGAAAATTCTACATTAAAATAACAGAGTATCTTCAGGCAACTGAATGAAAATAAGTTATTGCAAGAACTTTATGAATAATATAATTACGGTAACTTTGTTTACAAACACAAAGACACAAATTTGTATCTTTCAGCAAAAGACTATGGTTCCAATTTTTTTTTTTTTTTTTCCCAGTAATTTCACCTTTCACCAAAAAATACCATTTTATGATTTTTTATAAAGGATTATAATTTTAAAACATTAGGATTCCAGAAGATATAAGTATAAAAACAATTAAGAAATATATAAAACTACAGTAGTAGAATAGTATATCTTTTACGCAGATGAAAAATATGTATAAAGTTTTACTTCTTTAAATGCACCCATGGATCATATAGCTGGCTTAATGTTTAACATATCAGATATACATACTCAAATTTAATTTCAATTTATAATTTGTCAAATTTAAATTCAACTATTAATTTTATAAAGGATTTGTCAAAAAATATAAATTTTAAGGAAGATTTAAAAGAAGAAAACTTTTTAATTAAGACTAATATAATATGATCATATTAGCGAATATAATGCATCTCTAAAAAAACTGGATTTTTAAAACAAAAGTAATTTTTAAAAACTGAAAATGAATTTTTAGAATACTTTCTTATGCATACTATAAACACATTTCAGAACATTCCTGGATTACTTTTGCATACCTAGTATCTGTATCAATTCCAACAAAGTTTTTCTTCTCAAAAGGGGCAGTTAGAAGTGGTATTTTATCTTGCTTCTCAAATGACCGATCTAAACGCTTAGATTCTAGGACCCAAAAAAGGGAATGAATAAACTCATTGATGTCCTGTTCCAACTGATCACAGTTGTCAGTACCTGGATAAATTACACAGTGCGTACTCATAGAATTTACAGTGGAGGGAATTAGAAACTTTTTTGAACTGGAAGGTGAATTGTTGCTATCGATAGTAGGACTCAGTGAAGAACTGCTAGAACTACATATACTATTTACACTAAATTCTCTTTTTGATTCACTAATATTTATACTAGTAAAATCCAAGCTTTCTGAAATATTTCCATTTGGCAAAGAATTTAAATCTTGAATACAGTTTAAAAATGGCAAAGAATCTTTAGTGCCATTAAGCTGAATAATTTCATGATCACATGAGTTAATATGATTAAATATTCCACTGTCACTTTCATTCCTCTTGTGGCTTTTCGGTATAGGTTCAACACTCCCTTTAAACACATCATGTTGCCCATTTTCTAACACAGGTGACTGCACAAATTCTGGCAGAACAGGCTTTTCTTCTAGAGTGAAATTAGAGGATTCACTGATTTCGGACGGTGAAGCACTATCTGTACCAAAAACAAGGCAACGAGAATCAAATACTGAATTAGAATATTTTTCTTGTAGCGCGTTATGTTCTTCGCATAGTTCTTCAACACTGTCAAGACTGCATTTTCCTAAAAAAGTTAATATAATACAGTTACTCAGAAAGTAAGGCAAGACACTTCAAAATAATAAATGTTGATTAAGAACATGTGTTAATTTGGCAATGTAAGAACATTTTGAACTAAAACCTGCTTTCAACATTTAAATTAATGCAAATAATAAAAGTAATCAATAAATATATAACTATACACATACTGGCTACACTTAGTTCACATGAAAGAATACTAAATATTAAGCATTATTTACTTTTAAAAATAAATTTATTTTGAAAAAAATATTAAAATTTGGATAAACCTTAGCTTTAAAATTGTTTTAATAGGGCTCTTACGAATAAGTAATATTAAAGTAATCACATAACAGTACAGCAATAATTTTAAAGCATTTTCAATATACTTTTATTCCACCAAAAATAAATGATTCTCAATGACAACACAAAAATATGATGCTAGGGCATTCAAATATGATCAGGAACAATGAAATGACTGAAAAGTGGAATGGTTTTGCAATTGAAAAGCATGACTCTATTTGAAGTAATCATTTGCACTGCAATATATCTTTCCCAATGGGAAGCTACTTTATCCCTTTTCAGGGAAGGTATTTCATTCTATGATAACCATTCTTGAATTATTATGATGACAATGGGAAACCTGAATCTGAACTATCAGCACATGCAACATACCCATATGTGCCATGTTTTCCATCAATTTTGCAAAGAACGGTCAAAATGTACAAACTTGAAATTACTTTCCCCAACTTAAAACTTAACAATAATACTCTATTCCACAGCCTCAGACTCTTAAACCTTTGCTGCATCACGTCCACTCTAGTAGACAAAAGTTTAAATTTGTTTGTTCTTCTATAAATGCCTTAACAGATTCCATTCCTGTGTTTATTCATTCTATATTATTAGAACTTTCAGCTGTCGATCATAGATGGCTGTATAGCATCACTAAGTAAAGCACTGCTATTTGGAAAATGGCTGCCGCTTCTTTTTCCAAGTTAGTACAATTTCTCATAGTAAACATTATATAATATTGCTTACATTTTCTTATACTGCCGTTTTTTATTCAGAATTAATAATTTTAGACATTTTATTTTAAATGTCAGTTTAGAAAATTGTGGAGTGGGTAGATAAAGATCTACCGAAAAGAGTGAATTGAAACCCAAATGTACTGCTTATCAAACCAAAACACCACTGGAAATGTTTATGTTTGATAAAGAATTTCTAGAACATTTAACATTTGATTCCAATAGGTAGAGGTTACAAAATCGTAGCAAAATGAATTCAATCACAATCAACGAAATGAAGGTATTTTGGGAAATCTGTATGTACATGTCAGTTGTAGATTTACCATTAAAGAAGATGGTAATGATCACATTGCAAACAAGGCTAGGAAATGATTTCAAGTGCAATGATCGTAAATCATTAGGAAGAGATTTGCATGCATGTACGTATATATTTTGCATGTATCAATGCAAAATTATACCCACTGTAGTGAACAAACTGTAGTTATTATTTAAAATGAAATCTGAATAAAAATAATTTTTTGATTATTACTAAGGTTATTTTAACCCCTTCGCGCCGGGTAGCGCAAACGCGCGCTTATCGCGGAGGCCAGCAGTGTCTTATGTGAGCGTCTGTCGAGGGCCGGGGTTTTTTTTGCTATTACACCTAAATCCATGAAATTTCCGAAGTATCAACGCATTGTTTAATAATGCTCTATAGAGTATTTAAACAGCTTATGCTTTATAGATATTTTTATATATACTTATTTCTTGTTTAAATGTTACCTTATTTCTTGTTTAAATGCATATTTTACACATTTTATTTTCATTACTCACCATTTTATGACTTTTAACATCATACATCTGAAAACTAAATATATTACTTAAAATTCTCTTTTCGTATGAAAAATTTGAAAACAGAGATCTACACAAAGTCCTACGTTCCATTCCTTGCACTCGTAATAACTCATTTGCTGTTTTGGAGGATTTTTCCGGGAATGTGAACAAACGAAGCATCGTCGTCTCATATTCTTATAAGTCTCTTCTGAACAAAGTTTTGGAAAATGTCTTTCACTTAATCTGAGTGGATTTAATGATTCTGCTGATCTTAGTGTGATATTAACATTGGTGCTTTTAGAGGAATACCGATAAATAATTTGATTAACTAAATTAAGCCGATAATTCAGGAGAGGAAGATTTTTATAGAAAAACAGAAAGAATTCACGTCTAACAAGATCTAATTATTTTCTAAAAATTGAACTGCAAACCGAAATAACCAATGATTTAGCGAAATTAAAACTTCTCTACTTACAATAAACAACTACCACGTGCGAATTTAAAGAGACGTCATAAATCACGCCAATTCGGAAACATTTATTTCCTCTTTTGTTTATATAATCAAAAAACCGTGTATGTGAGTCATGCTTCTCTCATTTCGAGTAGAAGGTCTAATGTACATGTATCTGAAACCATATGGACATACAGTGCCATCTTGTGGCAGAAATTATAGTTTTTAAAACGTTCCAGGACACTGGCACAAATACGTGACAGTCAGGGCTGAATGGGAAAACGCTCTGCCACGCCTGCGTGTGGGTCGGGAAGTGAGTGTGTTCGTTGCTGACATGTAGACGTGACAGTCAGCACAAAGGGGTTAAGTAGAAAAAATACAAATATTTCCGTTTAACTTCTCTAGATTATTTGTATGCAACAAAGGGTTAAAGTTTACAAGTTCTTACAGGAGCAACATCTGATTAACAAGATCATTACTACTGTGCTGTAGAATAACATATGACAGTTGTAAAATTCAAGTAACTTATTGTGCTGCAGAAATCACTAAGTCAAAAAACTTACAAAGGTGAAACTATACTACATGTCGTGCTATTTTCTGTCTCGGCCATGCATTCGCATCATCATCATCTAGTATTATTTTAGGTTTTGTGCATTTTTTAATATGATTAAATAGATAGGGGGTCTGCCTAGAAACCTGGGAATATTATATATAGTATACATATATATATATATATATTTAAACAAATTTAAATTTTAACAAACATGTATATATGTAAAAAAGGAAATTTAAAGTTAAAATTAAAAAAGCAAATTTAAAGTTAAAAAATTTTTAAAAAGTGCAAACATATAAGAGATTTAATTTTCGAACTAATCAACAATATCATTTAAATTCAGATAGCATAAGCAAAATCAAGTGCAAAACCAAACCATGAAAATAAATTTACCAATTTAGCAAATTAAAATTAATCTAAAAAATATTTTAAAAATGCATAAGTGAATGACTGTTGAGCAGGCAGGAGACAGACTTATCAAGTGGAAGTTGCCTCCAAACCTAACTCTCCAATCATTCAATTAGTGTTTCGTCATTCATGCAGGCAAGGGCAAAAGTCAAAACCAAAGATAAAGAGTGAAGAATGTCCAAAAAGAAATACCAATAAAGTGGTACCTTTAGAAATTAGCAATTAAAAATTAAAGTTCTAAAAGGAAAATACCAATGAAGTTTTCTGAGAAATAAGCCAATGAAAAGTCAAGTATTAAATTAAACTTTTTTTAAAAATTAATTTTTCAGAAAAATTAATTTAGAAACCCTTGTCTACAGAAACCTCCCCGACATGAATATGCATATCCATAAAAAGAAACTAAAAAGGAACTAGACATAATTTATATAAACCAATAAGAAACAAAAAGAACTAATTCATAATTTTTAAAAAACAATATATACTTAAAAATATAAATTCATATCTATAAAATACTTAAATACTACATAAAAAATATATTTAAAAAATACTTAAAGCAAGTAAATAGTAAGTTTTAATTATAAACTAACCTACTATATTAGTGTTGGGGGTCTGCAAAAGTATCATCAAAGTGATATAAGTGTGTTCTTCAAATTATATAGATGGCACTTATGTAAGTAAACTTGAGTGCCAAGCAAGCTGCTATCTTTGTTATATTAAAATTTTTTTGAAAACTTTAATATTAAATATTTAAATATAAATCTAGAAAAAATTAAATATCCTAAAAGTATGTAATTCAAGTTTTAATTTTAACTGATCAACTATTTGTGGTAGGGAGTTAAGTAGCTGAGCCAATCAAGAGATGCATGTTTGCTTTGCAAATATCATAAAAAGAGTACTAATTGAAGTAAAGTACAGTTAAGTGGTTATTGTGAATTTATAAATGTAAACTGTTTGTAATGTGAAAATATATATATATACATTACAAATGCTCCTTTGCTTCATTCTGACCTATAAAAAATTCTCAAGTATGCTCTATTTTCATGATGTGGGAGAAAATAACATTAGGACCATCTCATTTCATTTACTCTTTGGTAAGAGATGAGCTAACCATTAATAACTGCACCATAGCCAGTATTTCTCTCCTACACAACGCTTATGCTTTAATGATATACTTAAATACACTCAATAAAAAAGCAGGAAACAATTACCTATAGATATGAGCCCCAGAACCTTTCGATATGTTTGGAAGTCTCCCCAGTCATTATCTTCTGGAGAATAGCTGGTTTTGTATCGCAACCAAATACAACGTGTGCCACCAGACTCATTTATTTTCAAATACTGAAGGCGGCAAATCCTCTCATAAATTTTATTGAAAGATTTCTGGCTAATTTGATTACCTAGAATAAAATTACACAGTTATTAGATAACAGTTATACATTTTATATATGTCTAAATAATAATAAAGAAAAAAGCCTTTTTGTATAGATAACTGAGAAAGCTTGATTTCTTATCAGAAAAGTTAAAGAAGAAAACACTGTATTAACTTAATATTACCTTCACTCGTACAATAAATCATGAAAGAGAAAATATTTTTATGTAAAAACTATACATATAAATACTATGTAAAAAAAAATTAAGAACATATTATCAAATGTTGTTTAAGATATGCCATTTATGCTTAGCTATGTAGTATGACTAATAATTCATCACACTATATACCTCTCAATGAAAAGCTCTTTCATGGTAGTAACTGCAATACCAAAATATAAAATTGGTTTTCAATGTACACTTTGCATTATTCCCCCGTACAATATCATTCAATACTTCAAAATATTTAATGTCACTTCTTGAAAATACTTAATGTCAGCTACAATTCATCACTTCACAATTTTTAATGTCAGCTCTTTAAAATGATGAGATTACCTGTGCAGTTGAGTGGCTACAGCCATGGAATACAGAATCACAGTTATTGCCGAATTCCTGCAGAAATAAATGGCTGTTCTTGCATTTACCTCATACATAGAACAAATATACTCTAAGAACAGTCCCCAAAACAGCATTCCATCCTTGAACAATGCACACTTGTTAATTAAACTTTCAATCAGTGAATGCAATGTCTACAAATACTCACATACATGACACTTTAATGTTCATAAATTTAAATACTTAATAAGTTCCAGATATTTTTTAAGAAAATATGTGACAATAATTCATTTATAAATAAAAGGCATACATATGATTGCTTTCTTTGAACGATCATGAAAATATTTTGTATACAAATGGGTTATGAAATATATATATATATAATTTTTACGAAATTTTCAAAGAAGTTTTGTTTCTTACCAAACATACAACAGTCATAAGTCAAAAACAGAATACCACTGCTTACCATTATAATTTTAAAGGCATCTTCAAGAAAAATTCTCCAGACATTCTTTATACATACTTCCAATTATCCACACATACATTTTAATAGCATATCTAATTTTCCTAAGCATAAGCAGTTTTAACCAAACAGCATTAATATTCCATATGGCAGTAAAGACCAAAGTTGTTGCAGACTTTTCAACTACATCAGCAACAGATATGGATATGATTCGGTTAACAGAGACAACGTTAAAATACTGTATATTCAACTGATAATTAATTAATAAATCAGAAAGCAAAATATTTGGTAGCATAAAGTAATATTTAAATAATTTAGGTAAAAATAACTTGCCAAACAATTATTAAAAGTATTTAAATTTCAATTTGATTAAATTTTAAATATATTTTACCTATATAACAATTATCTTTACCCAATTAATACATTTTAATGCAGTATGACACAGAATCAACATATGAAGCTATTATATCAGATTTCATTCAATGGCACAGAAATTAAAATATTCAATTTTGATACCTGTTATAATTAATTTTTCCTTCACTTAAACACCAGTAAAAATATATAGAACTGTTTACTAATTTTTATCATACACATCTGCACTGGATGATATAATTACATTATCTGCAAAACAGCAATTAATTTGCAAAGGTAAACTGTGTTTATAGTAGGCCCAGTTACTTCATTATGAAATAAGGCAGGTAAAAGGTCAGCAATAAAACAAATCACTTATCATTGAAATCAAATGATTTCTTGTTCAGAGGCTAAGAATGTCTCAGCAGGAACAGATATAACTTGTACGCATATTATACCTTTAACCTGAACCAAGATTACTCTTACATCCAAATAAGCTAATCATATGTCAGTGGCATGCTATCAACGGGCTAGAGAGATTAGACTAACTTCCTAAAATTTTAGGTAATAACACTTTCAAATAAAGGTATTTAAAAGTATTATGCTGTCAACTATGAAATGATTGCCAAGCAGCAAGATTTAGAACCAATTACGTATAAGCATGACGTCACAGCATGTACTTTCATAAGATGTTCTATTCTCGATCTGTTCAACTCTGATTCTCGAGAAGCCACTTTTAGTTTTAATCTCTTACTTTTTCATAACTAAATTATCTCTTATTGCTGTATTTTTCCTTTGCTTTTGGGGAAAATAAAGGAGGGGGGAAGTTTGAAGGCTGTAGAATCAAATTTCAGATTGCACTCTGGTTTATTACAACTAGTCAACAGAATATTTATTGAACCGAAAAAAGAACATCTGGACATGACTGACAAAACAGCAATAGATTGGAACACCTGCAGTATGTTTGTATTAACAACATTCTAAACACAGCTTCCGGTAAATTCGAAATAAATTTTAAGACACAAAAGCATTCAAAATAACATTATTTTACCTTGAGAGTGTGCACTACTTAAATACAATTGGATTTTCGTTCATATTGGATGCACTCATGCTGCTTTAGCTTTAGATGAGGAAGATCTAGCTATTTGTCATTCCACAAGCATAGCTAGTGCCACAGGCAATGCAACCTGTATGGGTGCACTTGGTAGCAAAATTTTTAGAATTTAGATGAACACCAAACAATAAAATTCAGGAATGGCAAAATTTTTAGAATTTGGGAAAGATACCAGGCAACATAATTTAGGATTCATAGAGATTGCACAGGTAGCAAAATGCCTATCACCAGCTCTGTCCATAAGCAATATCGTTTTTCAAAGAGGACATATTAAAACAGTTTTAACATGTTTAAACTAGTGATTTTTCCCTGATGTAAAAATACCATTAAGAAAAAACCTTCATTCAGGTAAATTCTGACTTGCAAACCCACAAGTACTAGATTTTTGCTTCAAAAGCCCTCGTGAAAATAGTAGTAACAGAATTGCACATCATGTGATATTTTACATGTATAAAAAATCCAATAATGCAGTAAACGCTTTAAAATGTGGAGGAAGTGTATGAAAAATTGCTTTGAATATTTGCAAGTACCAACGATGGTTCTGCAAATTTTGCAAGGTGACCTTAAACAAGATACCAGCTGCCGTGAATGCCATCTGTTTTGATAATGTTGCAGATGAATGAAATCCATATGCAACTGCTAAAGAGTTAGCAAGAAAGATTAATTAGTCAAAATCAACTGTCTCTCTCTATTTAAAGAAACCTGGAAATATATCTAAGCTTGAAAGATAAGGTTCCACATGAACACAGATGTTAATCAAAAAGAATGACAACTGCACTGCTCTTCATTCACATGAAAAATATTGTTTCAAATCACCTGGCTACAGGTGATGAAAAGTGACTAGCTATTCGAAGCTTGCAACATTTCATAGATGGAAAATGAATGTAATTTTCATCAGGTACTTGAAAGAGACCATCAAGACTTCTTTTCCAATATGCTGATCAACTTCTTTAAGAATGGCATAAAACTTTTACAACACTGATTCATACACTTGGTGAAAACCACTGCACACCACTGCCATGTATTCCAGATAATGTAGGAGAGTCTCAAATTTTAAAGCAGCATTTCTCCTTAGTGTATGTGCCCTGGCTACAACAAATAGCTCGGTATTTTGTAATTAACTGGCATGAGTTTTGCTAATGCTGGTCCAAATTGAGAATGAATATATTTCTGTACATTCAGAAGAGAATCAATTGTAAATAACACAAAATCATGTAATCTAGATTTGCCCCTTCCCCCCCTTTTTTAAGACTTTATGTAGGGAGTTGAAAAGAACAATTTATGAAAAGAAGCTTTCTATTAGAACTGCATTTCACAATAGGAAAGAATGGAAAATCCAATTTGGTAATCTACCGAATAACTTTATTAATTTAGAATTCAAACAACAAAAATCAGTGTTATATAGTCAAATACCGAAAATCCGCCAACATGAAATCCACGTTGCCTCTCAAAATATAAACATTCAGTTTATAGGTTCCGGAAATGGCAACATTGAGTACAAAATATCGAAGAAAAAATACTTACCAAATAATGACTTCATATTTACCGAATAATAATGAGTCATAATGGAAATACCAAATTATTGACATAAAAAAGTTTGAAAAATAAGATAAAAGTTTTTTCCCTCCAATCTGCATCGAGGTAAAAAAGCAGACGATTCACTTAACTTCTTCCGTTCAAGTTACACGATTTCATGTTGTTGTACTTTCTTAGCTTTTATTATTTCACGAGATCGTTTAGTGCTGCCCTTTTTTTTATCCCTGATATTTTGTGGATAAATTAAGAATATTTTTAATTTCAGCGCTTTTAATACAATGACAGATAAGAAAAGCACTCGTGATTTTACTGCTTGCAACGTTGAAAAGCGTAAACACGTTGCATTAACGGTAATGCAAAAAAGTGGCAAATTCTGCTAAGAGATGGAGGCAAGGTGCTACACCTCGGATTTATAGCAGAATCATATGGAATTGCCAACACAAACTGTGTATGATATACGGAAAAATAAATAAAAAGCTTGTTGAAATTTTACAGCAACAGTGATAAGAAATAATCTTTAGTTCTATTTAATAACTTCATTCATGCAACGAGGGGCTAGACGCTTGTTTGAGAGAAAAGGGCAAGCAGATTCATGCTGATTTAAAAATAGAGGAACCATTTAATGTACAATGAACAATATAATCAATTTATATATGTAATAATTTAATGCATATAATAATTTATTACAATAATGTATATAATAATTTAATTAAATATGTGTATCTAATACGCCTTATTTATTTTGCACTTTTAGTCCGAATATCATGCTTTACTTTTGTGTCCTGAAATCCGCAAAATCCTAAAATCCACACAACCTCTGGTCCCCAAGCTTTGCAGATTTCTGGACTTCTACTGTATTTGCAAATTTTCACAAGAACAGTTTCGATGGTTTTACCGAACCACCATCTTCAGCTGCCAAAGTGCAAATGACCAAAATGTCGAGCAACGTAACACATCCAACTTCAGTACTATGGTTTACCGTAAACCTTCTTCGATTTGCCTTCCACCAC